ACCGTGCAAATTAGTTTTGCATTTCGCTACATTTAGATATGCATGGAGATATTCATGCAACTCTACTGCACGCAAGATTCGATATGAGATGGTGGAACACAAATAATGCAAATGACAAAATTTATCCCGTGAATCTAAACACCAAAGGCGTGCCTAAGTCCACGTTAATTGAAGCCAATGCTTTCATGGCTATTGGTTCTCGAAGTGGAATCTATGTTTGTATGTGAAAAAAATCTTCATCAATTACCATGATGTACATGGGTATGAGAAGGCTTCACCCAATCACAAATATGATGATAAGAAAAGTTGAAAGTTTTCAGCAGAGCTCACTAAGTACATTAAGAGTGAGGTTAGAGAGAGAGCTCATAAATGGCTTAAGAGGGCTGGAAGTGATGCTTAAGGTTAAAAACCAGTTAGATCTCCCACCCACAAAAACTGATGTTCATGTTGTAAAAGTAATGTATGTATAAAGCCAAAAATATTTTATAATTTGGAACGGAGGGAGTACATGTTAATAGGGTGGTTGAACTTATTTAGGAACTGCCTGTATTATATTTAAACATATTAACTTTCAACACATCAGTGTTTAACCATGTGACAACATTATATCTCATTCATACCCCTTATTGTACACAATTATTATATTTTTATTTTATTTTCAACTCATATCATTAGGTATCTAGTCTAGATACCTAATACAATAGATTTGTGAAAATCGAGAATCCTGATGGTTAGAACCTATTTGATCCATGCATGTAATAAAGTAACTCAATGTAAGGACCTTTCCACGATTCCTTATCGTCTTATTTTGGCTTGACACTCCTAAGGGGGTGAATGGGCCTATTAAAAAATCAATGCAAAATTTTCGAAATCAAAAAGTTAAATTCAATATGAGTTGTGTCCTTTGTCATTTAACATTTGCTTGCCACTTATGCATTCTTGATCCATTCTTCAACCCTTGATCAAAGCTAATCCACTATCAAACTCTTCTTATTCATGCAAAGCAAGCCATCATTAGGACCAATCCAAAATCATCAACTCATGTCTCAAAATTGCTTGATTTCATGATGCTATGATATCCCACAATATAGCATCAATTCATTTGTAGAGTCTTATGCTTGAACTAGATTGTTTCCATAATCTTCTAGAACCCAAACTTAGAGATATGCATGGAGATATCTAATGGCAACTCTACTAAGTTAGCAAACTTGTTAGATCTTTAATGCACTCACCAAACACGCAGAGCAATGCCAAGTAAGTATCGAGTGGAACATAAATAATGCAAATCAAAAATTTCATAAGGGACAAGACATAAGATTTATCCATAGTGGTTCATAATGTGCTAATTTTATATCATAAATGCTACCAAGATAGTGCCTTGATTTAAGTCCACGTTGTTGAGGAAGCCACAAAAAAGGCTTTCGCAATTTTATTCTTATTTTGCAACCATATCTTGTCCTCGTTCACATCGGGTCAAGAGTATGCGAACTCTTTCCAGATGAGGGATTTCAGTAGATCAATGGGTATCTATATCAAAAAGCTTTCTTGTGGCTCACCACAAGCACGGAGCTCACTAGGCGACGCTTATTTTTAATTTTAACCAGCCGAATATTAATATTTACTGTAGGAGGCTTCACCTCCAAGAGTAACAAAAATGATATTGCTAATTTACGAAAATTTAAAAAGTTAACTTACAAAAACCCTATATGACTCATCTTGTGCTCAAGGTTTAGTTTACTTTCTTGCTCTAATCAGCTCTCTAACTCTTAATCCCACACTAATCACTAACTCTCACAAAGAGCGGGGTTAGAGAGCTCATAAATGGCTTGGGAAGGGTTGGAAGTGATCTCCCACCGCTAGGCCCAACAAGAGCCTCACTCGCTACAGAGGTGCGGGATGGGTATTTATACCCACCCCACAAAAAAGGTAGTCACGAGGTTCACTTGCTTAAAAATCCCTAACCCTAAACCCGATCTTATGACTTGTACACCACCGACGAGGTGTGGCCCAGTATCGCCCACCAGGCTACTCGTGGCCCTAGCGCTTGACCACTATGGCTTTCGATGGTTTGCTGCAATCAACCCCTTTCTCTCTGTCTCTCTGTGAATCCGAACACCTATTCTATTACTATGATCCCGATCAAAACCGACCCGATCATCCGCGAATTAGAAAGAAAATAGAAAGTCGAACCCAAAGACCTAACCCTAATTCAAATCAAATCGGAAGAAGGAAAGGGAGGGTTGGATTCTCTGTAAAAGGGTCGAACCCCAACATATGTCACCTGAACAAAAGAAAGAAAAACACCATAACTTTTTACTCCGAACTTCATTTTCAGTGATCTTGGACTTTCTAGAAAGCTTGTTTCTAGGGCTATGCAACCCAGCAGAGAACAAGCCCCAAGATCAATAAGTGAAAGTGTTGTGCTAATGTGTTTCTCTCATGTTAGCACTTGGGTTCGGTTAGTTTGAGCACTTGAGACTTGTCTATGATTCGTATTGCATCCCCTTGATAGTATGGCATACCTATACTCAAGATCAAGAGAATATAACCATTTCAACCATTTGAGTCTTCAATGTCTTCATATGTAATTTCTTCTCAATATCACTTCATAAAGATGTTGCAATCATCTTTGTCTCATCTCTCCGAGCAAACACACCTTAAGCATGTGACTTGAACCATTTCCACACATATGAGTTCACCTCAATGGCTTTTAAGTCACTTTCACTAATGATTTGATCATCAATATAATATGACTCCTCATAGCTTGATTAGTTTCTCGACTCAATGCAAGTACTCTTTTTCACCTTAGCCATGGTACCTCGGTACTTAAGCCATCGCTTGCTCTTCACCTCCGCTTAGTCCCTCGAAGCTCTTTCCTTGCTATCTTCATCTTATCAAGCCATACTCAAGTCACATCATATTAAGTATCCATTAAAAACTCATTTCTTCAATATTGTGATCCTTGCTTGAATATCTTCTAGATATAAATGTTGAGATCAATCAAGCTTCAGTTTGATTCACATAGAGACATATATGAATCAACATCAATGTGGTCAAGTCAATTCACGATTCCTTATATCCTCTTTATTTTAGCTTGACACTCCTAACACTTACTTTAATATCTATCTTCATACTTATAGCTTGATCAAATCAATGTAAAGTGATTTTCTAAATCTTTATCCATACAAGCAAACCAATATAGAGACCGACTTATATCCAATATGAGTTGTGTCCTTTGTCATTTAACATTTGCTTGGTATTTCTTCACTTATGCATTCTTGATCCATTCTTCAACCCTTAATCAAAGCTAATTCACTATCAAACTCTTCTTATACATGCACAGCAAGCCATCATTGAGACCAATCCAAAATCATCAACTCGTGTCTCATTTGCTATTTGCCAAGTATGCTTGATTTCACATGATACTATGATATCCCACAATATATAAGCCATTTCATCAATTCCATTTGCATTGTTGTCTTATGTTTGAACTAGATTGTTTCCATAATCTTCTAGCACAACAATACACAATATTATGTGGAATATCATCAAGTTTGGCTTCTTGTTGAACCTATATACACTTCTCATTCCACAATTCACAAGTGTATGTAATAGACTCAATTTTCTATTCAACACTTAGCAAACTTGTTAGACCTTTAATGGTGTGTCATTCAATTCACCAAAATCCACTGAAGAGTTAGATGCACTTACACTCAAGTACTCCCTCTGTCGCTGAATAAATAGATTTCTAGAGTTGTCTTAAGTTAAACTTTTTAAACTTAGAATTTCTATAAAAAACCGTCAAGATTTATGACATCAAATTAGTATCATTATATATCATAGAAAATATATTCATGATGTGCTAATTTTATATCATAAATGTTGTTACTTTTTTCTACAAAGTTAGTCAAACTTAAGATAGTTTGACTTGCACGGATTCTAGGAATTGATTTATTTGGGGACAGAGGGGGTGTTGGTTTCCATAATTTCTGAAGTGATTTAGCTTTGAAAAATGGAAGTAAAACTATAACAAAAAGGCACTTAAGCAATATTCTTATTTTGTGATATATCATATCAGGTTAAGTTATGTTTGTAATCACATTATTATCATAAATGACATGTATGCGAAATTTAAATATATTACTCTCCATTCCAAATTGTAAATCATTCTAACTTTACAAATATATATCTTAGATTTTTCATCTAGATATAATGTATAACTAGGTGCATAGCGATATCTATGTATCTATAAAAGCCTTTATAATTTGGAACCCATGGAGTATACTCCCTCAGTCCCACAAAGAGTGACATTATTCTCACTTCTCAAGAGACGTCAAATATTTTTAATTTTAACCAAATATATACAGGAGAATATTAATATTTACAGTGTATAATAAGTATCATTAGATTAATTATTAATTATTAAATATATGTTTATAGTAAGCTTATTTAGAAATAGATATTGCTAATTTACAAACCTAATCAAAATTTAAAAAGTTAACTTACACAAAACCCTATATGACTCTTCTTGTGACTTATTTTACACGAGCTATTCCATAGTTTACTTTCTTCTTTTTTTAGTTTTATCTAAATTAAGAATCTGTTTGATCTATTAGAATTAAAAATTAGCAACTAAACTATTAGTACTAGCGGATCAAATAAACCAACTAATTAGTAGTAGAAGAAGGGACCTGGGCAAGACCCATCCCAAACCCGCCCCAACCCGCCCCGTTCCCGCGGGTTCACCCACTCAGCCCCGATCTACGCGCTCTCCACGGCGGACTTCACCTGCGTGAGCCTGGGCTGGGACTGGGAGCCGCCGCACAAGAAGCCGCGACCCCTCTGCTACTGATCCACCGGCACTGCCGCCGGATCTATCACGAGCGAACCGGAGGTGGAGCGAGCGGCGAAGGCGGCGGGGTTCGAGGCGGTGGTGGCGGAGCTACGCGGCGACGACGCAGCGGAGGCGGAGCAGGCGCAGGTGGTGGAAGGAAGCATCCATGGATCAGCGCCAGGTGCGTAGCCCCATTCCGTTCACCGTCTTTTCTCTTATCTCCATCCTCTCGCGGAACTTTGGATCCGAGCTTTCTCCTGCGTTCCCGATCTTGCTCGGATCTTGCTGATCTCGCCTAGGAATTGCCCCGTATCCGCTGTTGGTTCTCGGATTATGGTCCGCGAGTTCTGATTCGGATTCGGATGGATACATTTAGGCTTGGAGTGGCCCGTGGATCTCAGTTAGGAGGTGAAAGGGGCTTGGTGTGGCACGGGATCTGAATTACTGAACCGATATTTGGTTTCTGGGATAGGGGATGCATTTCTGGGATAGGGGGATGCAGTTGTTTTGGTTTCTTGCGATGGATCGGGCTGTCCGTGCTCTTTTAGCCCGCGAGTTCTGATTCGGATTCGGGTGGATACATTTAGGCTTGGAGTGGCCCGTGGATCTCAGTTAGGCGGTGAAAGGGGCTTGGTGTGGCACGGGATCTGAATTAGTGAACCGATATTTGGTTTCTGGGATAGGGGATGCATTTCTGGGATAGGGGGATGCAGTTGTTTTGGTTTCTTGCGATGGATCGGGCTGTCGGTGCTCTTTTAGCTTATGATGAAGCTCCTGCTCAGTTAAGATCTGATTATTATCTGTCCAAACAAATAATGGCGTGAACATTTTTCAGGTGGTTAGCGAGAATTATGCCAACCCCATTACATGCTTCTTCCATGTGCTATTCAAGGTAAACCGCTTGCCATCTCATGCCATCTTACATTGTGTTTTGCTGGAATTATGATATAGGAGCACGTTCTAACACTTGCTAATTCTTATTATGTTCGCTCAAAGGCGGGGGCGCTGGCCTTCTACATCCTTTTCTCGCTCTTTGTGAAGAGCTTCGTCATCATCTTCGTGATCACGGTGCTCCTCGCAGCGCTCGACTTCTGGGTGGTGAAGAACGTCAGTGGCAGGATATTAGTGGGGCTGCGGTGGTGGAATGAGATTGACGACGAAGGAAACAGCGTGTGGAAGTTTGAGTGCCTTGATGGGGAGGTCCGTGCCTGCTTTGCCTGTGCTGTTAATCCTACTGTTTTTTGTGTGAAAAATTGTTGCAAGTTGTAACTTGAGTGTTCCCTGCAGTCTCTCGCTCGGATGAACAAGAAGGATTCGTGGCTGTTCTGGTGGACTCTTTACTTGACTGTGAGTGATGTTATCTGTTACATAACGAATGCCATGGTGTAGACAATAGCTATTCGTTAGATTAGTGTCATGATGTCTGAGATTACTCAACTAGAAACTGCTGTTTGTGATCATCTTTTTATGAACCAATAAGTTACGAATTGCTCAATTAGGAGAGGGGAAGGCTGAGATTACTCAACTAGAAACTGCTGTTTGTGATCGTCTTTTTATGAACCAATAAGTTACGAATTGCTCAATTAGGAGAGGGGAAGGCTATAATCCTTACGTGTTTCTGCTACATGTACAAATGTACCTGGCTGTTTCATTTTTCCTTGTTCCTTAGCTGTGCATGTCCATTATCTACTTAGTTATGTTTAAGATGGTCCTATTTCCCAATGGTTTCCATTAACTTACATGATTTAATTGGACAAAGGTTAACAAAATATACCTAAATCCAACTATGGTTTAATAACTATTGGGTATAAGTCTGGTTAACAACTTAATATAGGTGCAACATTTTATCAACTTAAACACTTGAAATTTGGTTAGTATGAATAAAAATTACTTGTAGTGGATTCTAGCTTATCACTTAAAGCACAGTCTCTGCATCTCAAATCACAGCTTTTCCTGAGAGGGAAAAATGGCCTCTTTTGACTGTTCCTTCTCCCTCATGGTTCCGATATACCACAAATCCACAATATGCACTTAGTTAGGGGTTCTGTGATAGTATCTTTACCTCAACAAAAGCTGGCTGATCTGTCTGTTCTCTTGAGAAGATGGAAGTCTTATCGAAAGTCTTAACATTGTAAATGATACCAGAGAAGGGTCTCACATCCATACTTGAGGGTGATCCATTAAAGGCCTTTTATTGTCTATTCTATGTTTACCAACCACGATAACTAATATGTATTAGAATATATATAAACAAAAACAAATCTCTCCATGTTTTAGGCTGCTGCATGGATCGTTCTTGGTATATTTTCACTCATCAGGCTTGAGGCTGATTACCTTCTTGTTGTTGGAGTTTGCTTGAGTTTAAGCATTGCAAACATTGTTGGATTCACCAAGTGCAACAAAGGTACGTCCTACGGCGTAATTGAGAAGTTTGTAGTGAAGATTTATTGCCCTAGTTATTTTGCTCTGAACTGATTGCCGTTTCATAAACTGGTGATTGAATTAGATAGACTATTCCCTATCAAACCTAAGCATAATAGTTCTAAAGCTAATAATTTTCAATTTTGCATAGTTTCATTATGTTCAATAATGTGCAAGCCATTCAGTTTCCTGGTTTGCTGTCCAGCATTAGAGTTTGGCATGTTACAGGAACAAAATTTCATCAGCTATGTGTTTGTTCTAGAATTTTTTTTACCTTCACTATACCTGTATTGTTTTGTACACAGCATTCTGCTGTTAGTTCTGATAAAATAAAGTACCTATTCATGTCATATGGGTCTCTGTTGGAGTGGAGATAGAGCTTTTACCTTGAAAGTTTTCCACAACTCGGTACAGAAATAAAGTAGTAAATTACCCTGCAATAGCAATTGCTGGCCAAAGCAGGATTGGAGGTAACTCCAATTGTCCTTTATCCAAGTCCAGAAGATCAGAACTTACAAGAACCAAATATTAATGAATGTACTACTAAGACTTGAGTAATCACTAATTGGTAGTTCAGTACATATGTGATACTATGATGATGGTATCATTTACTTCACTTTCTAGGCTTCTAGTTTTCAGTCAAGAACAGGAGTAAAGGAGTACTAAGGTTCTATTACAGGTTACAGCACAACAGGTCTCACATTCTCAAATACATCAGTCTCAGATTTAGGAAATTAACAAAAGGCATTAAGGCTTGCATCAAGTTTCTTCTTCCTCATTTGTTTTAGAGTTCTGCTTTTTCATGTCATATTGTCATATCAGTCTCTGTTGGAGTGGAGATAGAACTTTTACCTTGAAAGCTTTCCACAACTGGGTACACAACATGAGTTTTACCAAGTAAATATTGTGTTACAGATGCCAAGAAGAACATCCAGACTTTCGCTCAAAATGCACTCGCTTCCCGTGTCACATCGTCGCTGCAATCAGCATTCGGAATCATCTGAAGTCCCACATGGAGGCCCTGATATTAGTATATTACTCACAACGGTGTACAATTTGTCAAAAGGAAGAGTTTGCATTCTATGTTACTGCCTTTCCTCGGATTGCAAGGATGTACCTCTACCAGCGTAGATAGCAATATTGTACTGTCCCATTATCATACCTTTTTTACCTCATACAACAAATAGGTCGATTTTGATGTGATTACCAGAATACTTTGGTTTATTTCTCTTGGGTGATTTGTCCATGAAGCATACACTTGTCTCCTGCACTGAGTGAGGAGCATTCTCTGCATCATCTTTTACCCTTTTTTTTTGCCATGGAAATGAAAATTATGACTGCAGTAAATATTGCACTTTATGAACCTGATAACCATGCAGAAATGATTTGTTGCTTAGGGCCTGTTTGGTTTCCATAAGTCAGGTGACTTATTAAGTCAGGTGACTGAAAATCAGTGACTTATAAGTCATGCCTGTTTGGTTGGAGATGACTTATAAGCAGTGGGCCCCACGCGGAAAATGGTGGCTTATAAGTTTTGATCAGGGGTGAACCAGCTTAAAACTTATAAGCAGGGGTGACTTATAAGTTGGTGGTGTTTAGCAAAATTAGTCACTTATTTCACTTTTTAGCTTAGTTGGTGGTGTTTGGCAAAATCAGTCACTTATTTCACTTTTTAGCTTATAAGTAGGTGACTTATTTGGAACCAAACAGTTCCTTAAGCTTGTTTGGTATAATAACTGTTGTCATGATTTTTCCCTCATTGTAATACCAATACAAAGGGGGAAAAGCGTACAAGCCACGAGTAGTGGTAGACCGTAGACGCCAACGAAGATAGTGATGAGAGGCCTAACTACTTGTCTGTACTGAAGATAGTGATGAGTGCCAAACATGATGCTTCATTGCTTCCTACTATTTGCTATTTCTTTTCAAAATAGAAAGAAATGACAAAACACATCATATTTCCTTTGGGAGCTTGTAATAACTATCATAAATAGTCTATACACGTACATAAAGGTACAGAATCTTTGTACTCTGTACCACAAAATCCAAAAAAAGACACCAAAATTAACTTAAGCTTGCAATTGCAACTGATCTTTCCCATTGCTACTTTGTATTCTGGTAGTTCTGTGTAGTGTGTACAAGGAGTCAATCGACGTCAAGAAACAGCCTGATGCAACATCTCCTCCCTCCAACCACGACAGCCTTCATCGTCTTCAGTTCATCACCGTTAACCCATCTTCCATTGACGTGGATCCAAAGGTCACGACTCGATCAATGATGATCCGTATCAAGAGTCTGAGGCTTTCTTGGATCCGCCATGGATCAAGCTCGCCAGCTTCACCCTGGGCTTGGAGTACTCCCCGCTCATGGCAAGCTTGGCAGCAAGGCCGCTGCCGAAATCCGTGAAGTGCACGCCGTCCCAGCTGACCACCTTCGCCTCCGGTGGGCACAGGTCGCCGCAGCCAGGCTTTCCCTGCTCCATGTTGTACGGCGGCCCGCCGTTGCCACAGCACACCATGAACGGCCACTCGATCCCTGGAGAAGAACTAGAGCGTAAGCAAGCTCTGACACGCTATCGGCAAGTGAAATGTTTAATTTTTTCTTCTGAATGCCTGAATCTTCAGAACTTTCTGGTTCTGAAGGACGAGGATCTGCCATCCATTTCGTACCGTATTTGGTGTGGTTGGCGACGAAGTCGTACTTGATGGCGAACATGTCGGTGTAGACGACGGTGGCGCCCTTGAGGTGGAACCGGAGGTCGTCACAGAGCTGGCTGAGCTTCTTGTTGTACGCCTTGGCAGCCCTGTTGACGCCGGCGAGGCAACCGTGCTTGTCCTTCTCGCCCTTGTTCCCCTGCACCACCAGCGCCGGCAGGCACCCCAGGGCGCCCGTGCCGTGGACCCAGAACTTCCTCGCTCCATTGTCATACAGAATCTGAATTTTGCCAAGAGAACAGAGATATGCTTCTTTGTCAGTCTGTATGTATCAGTATGCTGAACGGAATTTTTCAGAGGAGTGGTATGTTGGCGCTTGGAGCTTACCGAGATGGCTTGTCTGACCTCGCCGACGATCTCTGTGATCTTCTTGTCCCACTGATCAGACGGTGTGTGCGCCACACCAACCATGTCGTTGTGGCCGATGTCCATCATGTACAGAGCGTTCTCAAACCCTTCCTTGCTCACCGGCCCTTTCAGTCCTGATGCAAAGCACATTTTTCAGGTCCAGAATTGAGTGTAAATTTGATGGCACAGATGTCCTGTGACAAGGCAACAAACCTCGTTCAAACATCTCAAGGGATCTGTGCCTGAAGTAGACGAACTGGTCGACCTGGACGTTCAGGGAGTAGTCAGAGAAGCCGTGGGTCACCGTGGAGCCCGCCATGGCGAAGTTGACGCCGTTGCTGTAGTCTGAACCAATTCCCTTGAGGTATGGGTTCAGCTCATGCGTGCCCAGACTCTCACCTGAAAAGATGACCCTACTAAGCCATGAGTGGAAAAAAAACAAGAAACTGTTAACAAATTTAAGCTTTGGATAGCATGGTAAGTGCAGATTCGCTATGTGTTACTAATCCTCTGTCACAGTGACATTTCAGATTGGTGTGTCACGGCTACATTTCAGATCATGAACAGAACAGATAATGCACAGGTACCCCCACCACGTGCATCTCAGATCTCAACCATATATGCAGTGCAGATGCGATGTTTGTACTTGAGAAGATCAGTTGAGGATTAAAGCTTTCATGACCACAAACTGAAAGTACAGATGCAGCCTGTCCGGATGAAGCATCCGTGGACCATGACAAAACGCCTTTTTGTTCTCCTAATTTACACTTATTAGTAAATATACATTATACAAAAAAATCACAATAAAGAACTAGTACTTTGCCGTTACGTAAACAAGTAGTATCATTGTGTGTGTGTGTGTGTGGGGGGGGGGGGGGGGGTTAGGTTCCCGTGGTGGAACCCGCCTATCTGAGTTCAAGTCCTCTACTTGGCACGGGTGATCGTATTTTCCTGGTTTTATTTCAGGATTTAACGGCGCTATGCTTTCAATGGTAGGCGATGTGGCGACTTCGTGAATCTCGAGATGTGCCAGCTCAGTCCTTCGGAGGTGCTCATAGGGGTAGGGTTTATGTACGTGTGGTCATATGGTTAAATGTGCGTGCGTGTTATGGGTGTCTGCGTTGTACCGTGTAATTTTTTAAAAAAAGTATCATTGAGAGGGGGGGGCGTTGGGGCTCAACATGTACACTCGGATAAGATAAACCTGATGCAATGTGACAAGCATGAACTTCCACATGGTTATATGTGGCAGGATCATGACATGCATATTGCATATTTTGTAATTAAAGATGCAAGTTTTTAAAAAAAATAGTCAACGACTTTGTGTACTGTCAGCGAGTGGAAGACTTCTTTAAATTATTTTTTAATAATCAAACTTCTCTAAATTTTAGAAGAAGATTAAAAAAAACACAGCAATTTGAAGAATTGACTTTTTCTTATGACAACAAGGTACCAATACAGACATGTAAATAAGCTGGCAAAAATTATCCATTCCAGTTCCAGTCTAGATAAGCACAGTTTGACGATGTAGCTGAATGATGCTCTGCACCCTGAACTCCTAATATTTTGTACAAGCACTAACTAACGTTGACAGACCAGACAAAGAAAACCATGTGACTGGTAGGTTTACAGCTCCATCTGCCATCGCCAATGCCACGGCACTAGTTGCAGTAGTGTTTCCGGTGATGTTTGCTGTTGACTCAACAACTTGCTAATCGGACAAAATAGGAGTAAGAAACAACTGGCAAGCCAGTAACTAGAGTACCCCCCTTCTGTGCTCACATTATCATTTTGTGTCGGTTAGATCTAGTCTAATCTCTTTACATCAAATCGAGCTATAACCTAAGGACATTTTTATTGATGATAACACAAAGGATCTTTGGTACTCCGATCCATGCCAATGCAAGAAGAAGGGGGAAAAAAAGGCATGTCGAATTTACCAAGACACTTTTTTATGTGAAGGAAGAAGCATCAAACACAAGATGGTCGTCCAACAACCTTTGTCTGGTCTGCACACAGAAAGAGGCAAGCAGGAAAGCACAAGAACCAGTCTCGCAATGGAGAATGGGACCAAGTTTGCTGAGACAATCAAGCGCAGATTTTCACCCTCGACCCTGCAGATAACCTTATTCGACATTCCAGCCAGCCAAAGGTTTTCCATGATTCCATCTCTCTCAACTGACTGGACAAAGAACCAAAGACTGAAATGGCATGGTGATTGGGCACATCACATCACATGAGGCCTCGTCTGCTTCAACCACCGAATAGCACCAATTTTTAATCCCTCTTCCACATCGGCGGCAACATGGGCTTGTTTGACCTTTCCCAACTTGTTAGTCACCACGATCCACCAACCATCTTCTAGCTGTAAATCTCCTTAGCCCGATTGATTGACCCGGTAAAATCGAGAGCGTATAGAACAGAGGAATTTCACATGAATCTATGATTCATATCGGATTGAGAAACTCACTGCGCAATTAGGGATGCTAGTTGCCGGCGTTTCCACCTAACAGTTTATCTGCTTTCGTGTGCAATTAAGTCCTCGGATTATCGGCTAATTACATTCTAGAGAGCTAACAGAGCGGCGAAATGATTTGATTTTACCAAACGGCAGAAGAAGCGGTGAATTAATGGTGAGTTTAATCAATGGAAGTATGGGTATGGAACTCACAGATGAAGTCAATGATGACGCGGCCGTCGGAGAGCCGGCCCGTGGGGTGGTGGAAGTAGGTGCGGCCCTCGGGTGGCATGATCCGCATCCCGCCGGCCGCCGCCACGCCGCCGGTGTCGGAGTTGGAGTCGCCGAAGTTGAACAGCACCACCGGCGGCCGCCGCCGCGCCTGCTCCTTCTCTTCCCGTGCCACCGGCGGCGGTGATGCCGCGGCCAGGCCGGCAGCGGCGCCGCTGCTGCTGTTGCTGCTGCCGGGGGCGGCGGCCGCCAC